AAAGTGAGGAGAGACTAAACCCTGCTGGGAGAGAGAGCTCCCTCGATCACAAACTCATGTTTGGAAAATGCCTAACCCCCTCGACCATCCACCCCCCTTCAAGCCATCCTCCTCCTTTCAGGGGAAAAATGAAAACCTTAAAAGCAAAAGAAAGAAGGGGGGTGGAGGGAGGAGGAGGGAGCACCCCTTGATTCCTCAGTGACCTGCACAGCTTGGACAGAACCCCAAGTTCTTCCTGCAGATACACCCTGTTGGAAAAATACAAATAACAATAATAAACCACCCTACATGCCTGAGCTTTTAATGTGGCTTGGGTTTTGTGCAATACAGGCTCGATTTTAGCACTTTCAAGAGGAAAAATAAAGGGGCAGGGGAAAGAGAGGAGAAAAGAAAGTTTGTGTTTAACTCTGTTGCTAAAAAAGCACCACGACCACCCTCTCCCCCCCCCCCCCCCCAAGATGTCAGTGAAAGCAGCCAGCGGCCCCTGCAGCCACTGCCCCCCGTCCCAAATGCAGGCAGCCCTTCCCACAGGCTGGCGGGGAAGTTCTTTGGTGCTGCTGAAGCCACACATACATATATATATCTCTATCTCATACACACACATCTTTATATATAGCTTTATATGTAGGTGTCTAGTCTATGTTTAAATAATCCTATCTATACCCACAGTCCTCCTCTGATGAGGTCATTCTCCCACATATACGAGATTGGGTGTGCAATGCCAGAATCGAACGCCAAGAGCTTATCTCCACTGCTCGAAGAGTAATGTAAAGTCAATGTTGGCAGAAAGGGGAAACACATTTTTGGAGAGAAACATTCAACAAGGTCTCCCTGAAGGTGTTTCTTCTGCCCTCCCCAGCAGAAGTAGCCAGGCACCTTATGCCAAACAGAGCCACTCTGGAGTAAGGGACTGACTCCTGCTCCAGAACCAGAACAGGCAGCACCCCACATGTGAGTCTGTGCCAGACTGGGGCTGCTTCTCGACATTTTTACCTCCCCCTTTCTCTTCCCTGAGTGATGCTTGCCTCTCCAACCAGCCAGTCGGCTGCAGCTTATTTATTTTTATTATTATTTTCTTTCTTTCTTTCTTCCCCTATGGTTGCCAACGTCTTAATGTTTTTTTTTGATTTCAGAAAACTCAGAACGAAAGGGGGGATGCTGCTTGAAAGTGTGACTCAAAAAAAAAAAAAACCCAAGAAGAAAGGTTTCGCTTTACAGCCATCAGTAGCACCAGGAGACAGCTCCATTAAAAAAGTAGTTTTCCACTGCTCTTGAAAAGCCGTTATTTTTTACATCGCTTTTAGGAAGATAGATTAACAAAACATCACATTTCAAGCCACTCTGATCTGTAATTAAATGGAGGAGCCGGTTTGTATTCTCCCATGGCTTTTACAGAAGTTGCAGTGATCCAAAGTCAGGTTGCTGTGTCAGAGTGGCATTTTTATTAATGAGAATACAAAAAGCTTGCATATTCTTAGCCCGGCTTGAATTTAGTTGCTAAGCAACCGCTGTATGGTAATTCATCCGCGAAATTTAAATCTTAGAGAAAGGAGTCTGCGTTTTCCTCAATGGTCGCCACGAGGAATACAACTTGTGGGACCCGCAGCAGCTGCCGCCGCGGCACCGCGCGGCCCGCCCGCCGGCTCCCCCCGGGGCTGCCCTGCTCAGCCGGGAGCTCCGGCCCGCCCGCCCCTCCCATGCCGCCTCGCCCCGCCGCCCGGGCCGCCCCACCGGGGAGGGAGCGCGGCCGGGCACCGCAGGACGCCCCGTCGGCGCTGCCCCAGGACGGCCTTCCACGAGTGGGGGCCCGAGCGCCGTTCTCCCTGGGCGAGGTGCTACCCTCAGGGAGGAAGAGGAAGGAAGGGGAGTCTGGTCCCGGTGCAGCCCCGACAGCGCGGCCCCGTGGGCGCCCCCGAGACCCCGCTGCTCCTTTGGCGGCGGGGAGAACAGGGTAGACGGCTAGCCTAACCCCTCTCGGCCTTCGCCCCTTAGCTTTTTGTACTGCCAAAGCCTCTCAGCCCAAAAAATAAGCACCCGAGTGCAGTGTCACCGGTCCCGCGGGGCCGTCCGCCTCCTCTCTCTTTCCCCTCTCTCCCGCCGGCCATTGCAGGCGCAGCCCGCTCCGTTATTCCAAACTTCAACTCAGAATAGCGGTGGGGTAACCACCTCTCTGCATCGCCCTCCCTCGCTCCATTTATCTGTCCGTTCGTCCGTCTGTCTGGACACAGGCCACCACGCTCCTCGCCATCCTTGGCTCAAGCAAACCCGGTCCCTGCCCTAAAGCGCTCTCTTCACGCCTGCCTCCGAGGCCGGAACTTGTTGCATCCCTTTCCGAGTTTGATTAATTACCCGGGAACTCCAGCAAAGTAAAGTACATGTGGCGAAGAAGCTCTCGCCTAGAGTTTGGTCCTGCAACCTGCCAGGTACAGGGGTGATCCTTCCACCCCGGGCAAACCCGAACAAGTCTCTCTGCGCCTCAGACATACATCCCTGGATAAATGTATAGAAGTATTGATTTTGCTGTAGCTGGAAGATGTTGATCATTTATTACAAAAATAAACGAATAAATACAACAATATATTGTTGCTTTACGACAGGATAAATATTTTACAAATATATAATTTAAAAAGCAATTAAATTCTTAAAATTATTTAAAATATTACAATTTACGGATAAAATTATCAACAGTATATACTGCATTTGATAGTAGAACCGATTATTCTCTAAGCGTTCAATTGAAAACCAGTCATACAAAACAAGTTCTGAGCATCGTCATGTGCAAACACGAGCCACTACATTAAAGCATAAGGATTCTGGAAAGATCACTTTCCTAGTGGAACCGCTGTGTTTTTAAATCAAGGTAGAGCTCTCTGCTAAATTCCAACAGATACGCAGACCAACGGCAGTGAGATGGCTGTTTTCAATACACCTGAAAATGATTTCTTGTGTAAAGGCTCGATGGGGGAAGGATGGGATGGGAGGGAGTGAGGATACCGAGGACCACAGGATATGAAAACATAAACTATAAATAAGCACATGTCGGGATTACCCAGACTGATCAAACACAACTTCGTAAAACATTTGGCTTTCCTTTAGGCAGAACAGCAGGAAAAAAAAAAAAAAAAAGGGGGGGGGGGGGAAAGAAGGAAAACGATGCCGACTCAATTACCAAGCACAGAACACTGATATTAGAAATGAACATAATTACTAAATTCATTAAGAGATCTGGCGATATATAACAATATTTTCATTATTTACACGTGTAACCATATAACCCTTAGCGCAAACCCTCTCAGTGATTATCTACCTCTCGTTATCTCACAGCTTCACAACCCTGAAATTCCTAAATACATTCAAAGAGTTCCGTTTCTCGGGGAGTGGAGGGGGGCTGGGGGTGGGGGTAGAGCCTGTGGCCTCACTTTTTGTACGTGACAACTCCACGGAACGGGCATGTTTTGCCGTCCCACGGACCAAAGGTTGACCCCTATCCCCCCGCCTGCACCCCGGCTTTTCTGAGGCATCCTCCCCCCCAGGGTTGCCTTATAATAGAAACCAGTGCGAAGCCTCACGTTGGCTCTTTGTTGCCAACCGAATCGAGGAACCAAATAGCGCTCCGAAATTTAAACAGCCCTTCTCCCCGCCTAATAAACCGCTCCCCTTCACGGGTGGAAAAGAGGATCCCACCTCCTGCCTTAACGGGGCCCGGCGCTCCCCCCTCCCGCCCCAGCCGCGAAATGAGCCGGCAGCTTTTGCTAAATGAACAAAAGAAAGACCGTCCTTTACCCTTTCGTGTTTCTTTCCCTTTGTTGGTTTGGTTTTTTTTTTCCCCTTCCCCCCCCCCCCCCCCCCCTTTTTTCCCTTCGTGTCAGTGGGGCCTTTCGGATTTCACAAATCAAACCGACGGTGATATTTTACTATGAGCTGGTGGTAAAATAACGCATCCCGGTGCCCGGCTCTCAGAATGTCTTTGATTTATGGACTGACACAAGGCCTAATCTGGAAGGAAGAAATGTTTGTTGTTCCTACAGCAGTTTTCGGGGGGTTTAACCCCCTGCCTCAACAGCACATGGAGTAAATGGGGGGGGGGGGAGAACGAAGAGAGGGAGAGGAAGGTGAGGAAGGAGCCACGGATGAGATGGACCATAAAAGAAAACCTTATTCTGTGGTAGATTATCTGTGGGGGTGGGTGGAGGCGGGAGGTGCAGCTCTGTGGTTCCCACAACCTCCCCGCTTGAGAATGAAGAATGCAGAGAAGGTGGTTCACTTGTCCCTATATCACAATAAATTATAGCAGATAAATCTGACAGGCAGGTTTAGCGCATCAACCGGCATCTCCAACATTACCAGCACACGCGTGTGTTTGTGTGGGACAAAATTAGACTACAACACTTCACATCCCATAGAAAAACCCTAAACCAACAATAGCAACAACAACACCAACAGCAACAACAGAAATGGTGAACCAGGCGGACCACACGTAGGATGGGCTAAAGTATTATTCTAGTGGAAGAAAAAAAAAATAGCTGCTTAAATTATAAATACAAATATTTACACAGACATAAAATGCATCAAAATAATTTACAGTTTACAGCCCCCCTCCCCTCGCCCTCCACCTCAGATTGAACAGAGGGCAACCAAGAACGAACTTCTGGAGACAACCTTGCTCCGGGCACTGGCCCTACCCAGGCCCTGCCGGGCCAGCCTAACCCGCCCCGCACGGCCCTCCCTGCGGGAAGGGGGGCTTTCAGCATCCCTGATCTCGCCTTCCCTCCCCACGGCGGGGGGGCCCTACGCTGATGGTCGAGACCACGGAGATGTGCCAGCCGGGCAGGGGGGTATGAAGGGGGAATAGCCCCGGGGATACAGGAGGGAAGGCGACACTGCCCGGCTGAGCGGCTCGGACCCCCCCATCTTCCTCTCACTTCATCATTTGCAGTATTACCCTTCAGAGAACTTTGGGTTTTTTTTCGACACAGTGTTTATGCATCAGACACAGACTATTTCATTCTAACAAATTTATTTTCTCAATCAGCTCTTACGGAATCACTACTCAAATTAAATTACAATCAAATTATCACATCAAAAGATACCCTTATTACCTAACAACTGTCCATATTTTCATTTCATTTTGATTTGTGCTCGTCTGAAAAAAACACGTAATACAAGATCTGGGGAAAAAATAAATTACCGTTTTGCAGCAGTTCATAGGTATTCTGAATAAAATATTAAAAGAAGTCATTTAATGAAAATATAAAGCAAATTTTTTTTTTTTTTTTTTTTTTAGATCAACAACGGATCTAACAATTCTATATTGCCGTCTTTTTGAAAAGTCTGTTTATTAAAACCTACCAAAAACACTGCTTGGAAATGGCAGTATTATATAATCACATCCACAGCACCCATTCAATCAAAGTTGGCAACGGATTTAGGAGAGGAGAAGTTCAGATAAGTGCAGCTGCAGATGCTCAGTCCTTCTAAATCCCTTTATCTGAATCAGTCCAGAAATAAAAAATAAAAATATTAATAAAAAAAATATTAGCAGTGGATTTTTTTTTTTATGACTCTTCCATGATGATTGGCAGCCGTCAGGAGCAGGACTTTGACAGCCCTAAATTATTTCCCTTTCTCTTGCTGGTTCCCTTAATTCATGCAAAGTCCTTCTACAGAGCTAGAACTTTAGGGACCAACAACCTCTCCTTTCCCCCCCCCTCCCCCCGGCATCTCTCCCTCCCCCCCCCTCCCCCCTTTTCTCCTCAGGGTCAGTTTTTCGGCATGAGGGCTTTTATTTCCATATTTTTTGTTCTATAGCTATACCTATATATATAGATAAATATATATATGTATTTGCTTCCCTATGCAGTCTGCTTGTTTTTAGTGCTGTGTGCATATTTTCTTTTCCTTTTTTTTTTTTTTCTTTTTTTTTTCCTGGAAAAAAGTGGCCCCTTTCATTTTGCAGAATATATAGATATATATATATGTTTTCAGAGTGGATGTCTGCCTTGCACCAAAATCCGATGGTTTGGCCAAGAAAAACAGGGCGCTGGAATGCAGCAGACACCCTCTGATTAACCAGATTATTTTGCTTCTGCTTCCCTATTTTTTTTTTTCTGATTGCTCCCATTCAAAAAAAAAAAACAAAAAAAGGGGGAAAAAAAGGAACGAGAGAGAAAGGAGAAAAAAAGTTTCTGTGATTCATAGAAGAGAGCCCTTTTGGGGATAGGGGGAAGAGTGCGGGGAGGGGGGGGGGAGGAGGGGTGAGAAGAGGTGCAGACATCAGTGGTGCTCCTCGCTGCGAGAGGGGGATAATTTGGAGAGTGAAAATACAAATAAAAATAATAATAATTAAAAAAATAAAATTAAAAAAGAAGCTCGAGCCCACCTGCCCAAGCCCTCTTCCCACAGCCACCTCCCCGGCACAGCTGCAGTTTTGGTGCATTACGCATCTCCACCCCGCTTTCCCAGCGCGGTCTGAACGCTCTCGCTCGGATCGACCCTTCTCCACCGCTCCCTATCGGTATCGATCTTATATATATATATAGATATAGATGCACGCGTCTATCCATATATATATAAACACAAGCAGTCTGAACGAGCCTGGATCATGTGTGTGTGTGTGCGCGTGTGAGTATGTCCGGGTGAGCGGGCGGCTGTGCGCGCCGGTGGCGGTGCCCGTCCCGGCCCCCTCGCCTCCCGGCCCGCCCGCCGGTGCCCCTCACTGCACGCTGGCCTGCAGTCCGTGGTGAGGAGGCGGCGTGTCGGAGTTGACGGTGCCGACCTGGGAGTAGACATCGTCGGGGGTCTGCTGCTGGATCCCCGGGGGGGTCATCCGTTTCTCTTTCTGCCTCCGATTGCAAAACCAAACCCTGACCACCTCCTTCTCCAGCTGCAGGCTGTCCGCTAGGTTCGTAATCTCCTGGGCGGAGGGCTTGGGGCATTTCAGAAAGTGGCTCTCCAAGGCCCCCTTGACACTCACCTCGATGGATGTCCGCTTCTTCCTCTTCCTGCCCTGGGCGGCGATCTTGTCGATGCTGGTGGGGCTGCCCGTGGAGGAGTCGGCTTCCTCCAGCCACTTGTTCAACAAAGGCTTCAGCTTGCACATGTTCTTGAAGCTGAGCTGCAGGGCCTCGAAGCGGCAGATGGTGGTCTGCGAGAAGACGTTGCCGTAGAGGGTGCCCAGCGCCAGCCCCACGTCGGCCTGGGTGAAGCCCAGCTTAATCCGCCGCTGTTTGAACTGCTTGGCGAACTGCTCCAGGTCGTCCGAGGTCGGCGTGTCCTCGTCCGAGTGCGGGTCGTGGCTGTTGACGCCGCCGTGGTGCGGCGGGTGGTGGCCGGGGTGCTGGTGGTGATGGTGGTGGTGGTGCCCGGGGTGCTCTCCCAGCTCCGGCGTCTCGCCGCGCACCAGCCCCGGGTGCACCAGGCTCTGCCCGCCGGGGGGGGGGCTCAGCATGCCGTTCACCGTGAAGCCCCCGGGCTGCGAGTAGAGGAGCGACTGCTGCTGCTGCTGCCCGCCGGCCATGGAGGGCAGGTGGGCGGCCGCCGCAGCGCCCCAGGCCGCCGGGTGCCCCTGGTGCGGGGGGCCCAGGTGTGGCGGCCGGTGGTGCAGCGCCGCGCCCGAGTGCAGGTCGTCGCGCCCGCCGCTGCCCTTGACGTCGGGCGGCGGCGGCGGCTGCTGGGGGCTGCCTGTCATGCCCACGGGGCTGCCGGACCAGGGCGAACCCGCTTCGGCGGCGGCGGCGGCAGCGGCGGCGGCGGCGGCGGCGGCGTGGGGCAGGGCTGTCACCCACTGGTGGGCATGGCTCAGCATATGGCCGCCGTTGCTGGCGGCCATGGCGCCCGGCATGAAGTCGCTCTGGACCATCTTGGCCGCCGGGTCGCCGCGGTACCCGCCCGCCACCGAGGTGACGGCCACGCTGCCCGGCTGCATGCCACCGCCGCCGCCGCCGCCGCCGCCGCCCGAGTCCGCGTGAACGATGGAGCCGGCCGCCAGGATGCCGTTGCCGGGGAGGTAGGGGTTAGAGGTGGCCGCGGCCATCCCGCGCCCGCCACCCGCCGCTCGCCCCCGCCGCGCCGCCGCCGCGCTGCCGCCGGCGGCTGCCGGGCGCCCGCCGCGAGCGCCCTTGCCCGGCGCTGCCGGGGCCGCTGCCGGGGCCGCCGCCCGCGCCGCCGCCGCCGCCTTCCCAGCCTCACCGGGGCGCCGGGGCGCGGGGTTCACCTGCTAGCGCTCCGCGGCGCGCGGTCCTCCGCCCGTCCGCCCGCCGTCCTGGCTCCGCTCCGCGGCTCCGCGGCCCTTGCAGCCGCCGGCTCTCGCTTCGCCTCGATTTCCTTCTCCTTTTTGTTGTGTTTTTTTTTTTTTTCTTTAAATCGCTTTCCTCGTCTTCTTCTTTTTTTTTTCTCTTTTGCCAAAAACAAGGAGAAATATTTAGCTGTACATCTATTTTTCCTCCGCCGCCCTCTCGCCCGAGTTTGCTGCTCGCAGGGAGGAAACCAAACAAAGGCTAAAAAGCGAAAAAGAAGGGGGGGGGGAATCAAAAAGCCCCCGTGCCTTCTCCCCTCGGCTCCCCTAGGAGTACATCTCCACCTCTCAGCCTTCCCCTCTCAGGGCGAAACTTTTCCTTTTCTTCTTCAAGGCTTTGTGAGGGGGTATATTTTCCTTTTTTTTTTTTTTTTCCTTTCCTTTCCCCTCTGTCTCTTTCTCTTTCCGCGTCTTTCTCGCTCTCCTCAGCTCCCCGATCTCCTTTTGCTCTTTTATTCGCAAGTTTTGTTGTTGGTGTCCTAAGAAAACTTCCTGTGATGATGATGGTGGTGATGGTGGTGATGATGCATTTCTCAAAGTTGTGCTGGTGCTGGAGCACTTTGTCCCCTTTGAAACAAGAGTCCCGCCGGAGCCTTCTTGCGAGAGTCACGCTCTGGATAAGACATTTTTTTTTTCCCTCTCTCTACCTTTCCTTTAGGCGGTTGGAAAAAAAAAAAAAAAAAAAAAAAAAAAAAGAAGAGATAAAAAAGTTGAAATTTCTCGTTACCTCGCGAACTGTTTCTCTCCCTCTCGCGCTCTCTCGCTCTCTCGCTCGGTTTGTTGTTTTGGTTGTTGGTTTGTTGGTTGGTTGATTGTTGGATTTTTTTTTTTTTTTGGTGTTTGTTTTGCTTTTTATTTTAATTCCAGCAGTTGGTCGAGGGAGGAGGCGGAGGAGGAGCGCCTTGCTGGAGAGGTGTGGGTATGTGTGTGTGCATATATGGTATCCTTTATACACTAACTCCAGCCGGGAAGTTGGCTGCCGGGCTGGCAGCGCGCACTGGCGGTGCCGGGAGTCCCGCCGCTCGCCTCTCCCCGCCTCCCTCTCCCGGGCCGTGCCCGCGCCCTCCCTCCCTCCTCTTTCCCCTCCTTCCCTCCCCTCTTTTCCCTCCCTCCTTTCCCTCCCGCAGCCCGCACCCCCCCTCCGCCCCGCGCCGCCGCCGCCCGCGCCGCCACCACCCGACCCCGCCGCGAGGAAGCCGGTGGCCGCCGATTGGCTGCCAGCGCCGTGACGGACAGCCCGCCGCCGGCCGCGCGGCCCCCCTTCCGGCCGTTCCGATTGGCTGCCTTTTAATTTAGGCAAAGTGGCGTCGGAGCTGGAAGTTGTGTGTGTGTGTGTGTGTGTGTCGTGTCCCCCCACCTTCCCTCCATCCCTCCCTCCTCCCTCCATCCACCCCTCTCTGCCCTCCTCCCTCCGCCCCTTAACTCTTCCTGCCCGGCGGACACACGCACCTCAGGGCTCTCCCGCCGCTCCGGCAGCGGCGAGCGTGAAGGGAGTGGGAGGGGGCGGAACGCCGCTTATAATTAATAGTAATAATGACTACAACAACAACAACAATAATAATAACGGGGCTGGCCACGGGTAGGAACAGTGTTTGGGGGGCACTGCTGTGCACACGCCGCCCACGCCCCCCCCGGCAATGTCGGCACTGACCCTTAAAGCTCCCCTCCCGCCTGCCCTCCACCAGCCTTTGTCTACCCCGCACCCCGGGATGAGTCCGCCGGGCCGCCCCGTCGGCGGAGGGAGGCGGTGGGCCTGCCCTGCGAGCGGCGGTCACTCGCAGGGAGCTAGCTCCGCGGCATGAACCGCTACGTTATTTCTCGTCCGGCGGAAAGAGTTAAGGGGGGCGGGGGAAAGCGGTGGAAAGGGGGGGAAGGAGGGGGACGGGGGAAGCGGGGGGGTGTGCGGGAGGGGGAGAGATGCGACCGAGCGGAAGCGCTGCGCGGCGGCAACCTCAGTGAACCGCGGAGAAAAAGAAAGTGGCAACAAAAACAAGGGCAAATTGAGCACTCCCGGGGGCCCGCCGCTGCGGGGACACCGCTCGGACGTCTAGGGGACACGGTGCAGCTGGGGGTACCCCCGCCTCTCCGCACACGCGTGGGGAAAACACGGAGTGGGTATTGCTGCCATGGGGAGCGTGGCCCCCGCTTGGCTCCTTTATCCCCCGCCCCGTTCCCCGCCGTGTAACTCGGCCCCGAGAGGCGGCAAGCCCCGGCTCCCCCCCGGCCCCCCCGACCCCTCCGGCCCCCCCGATCCCGCCGGCCCCCGGTGTTCGGAGCTCCCACCGGCCCTCGGCTGGCGCTGCCAAAAGTACCGTGGTAGGTAGGTTTAGGAAAGCCATTAAAGTGAAGAGTACGGATCTGAAGGGCACTGGTAACCAAACCCCAAACATAACGATTATATATTTATATATATATAAAATATTTTTTTTTGTTCCCATGCGTCCTCCAAAGGTTTCTTTTTTATATCTAAAAGATCCAACACAGATTTCATTGAATAAATCTGAGATCTCCAGGTGCAGACGTTTGAATAGTCAGTGCCAGAACCCCATGTTTTCCTTTCCAGCCGATTTTGCTTGGATCAGGCTCAAAAACCGAGTGAGTCTCGTGGTTTTGTTTACACTGAATGGGGAGGATAGGAACGGTGCCATGGGGCCGTCTTTCATTAATATACAGTGAGGATTTTGTCTAAATTACTGCTATGAATTTCACAGTACACGCTTTCAAAAGCCGTCTCAGGTGGCCTGATGAAACGTGATAGCGCCTCTGCAAACAGATCTTTCTTAATAAAAAGGGGGGGGGGGGGGAGGGAGAGAGAAATCCCCCCCCCCCCCGATTAAAAAATAAATAAATAAATGTAAACCCTCATAACAGAGACAACAAAAATAAAGCTCGAGCTGGAGTAATGCTTTTTATTAAAAAAAAAATAATAAATTAAAACCCCCAAACCAACAACCAAGTTAGTTCCCCAACTCTTCCCACCCCCTCCCTTGCAGAGTGAGATTGTTTTGTCTGGAAAAAAATCCAAAGTATAACAAGGGGAGAACAGTTAGTGCTGATTTTCATTTGCATAAATTTTCATATATTTTGGTGAAAATAATAGACTAGTGGAGAGCGGGGCTTAGTGGAGTCAGTGCAAAGGAAAATCTTAACATGGATCGTTTCGCTGGAGTTGAGAACATGCTTTTTCCCCCCTGTCACCTTATTAAAATCAAAAATTAAAAAAAAAAACAAACCAAAACTCTCTCTAAATCCTGGAAGTATGATCGGTAAGTGTTTTACTTTTCTTTCAAAAATCTACTTTTGTTTTCTTTAAACTCTTCTGGATATATATTTTCAAAAGCTTAGAACAAGATAGGGAAACCCATGGCAACTGCCTGGAAGGAAACAGGCTAAAAAAAAAAAAAAAAAGAGGGAAAGGGAAAAAAAAAAATCCCACCAGCAACAAAAAGCACCTTAGTGAAATATTACATAAAAAGCGTGGATTCATTCCAAAGCTCAAGGCAGCAAAGCAATTCTTCAGAGCTGGAAAGTCTTTCTGGTTACTACTTCACTTTCCTGGGCACTGTTAATTATTGTAACACCAGGGCTCGGGTGGGGATGGCTGGGGATGGAGGGAAGGAAATCTCTCGAAAATATGACAGATTTATAAAGCAGAGGAGAGGCAGATGTGCGGGATGTTTGCAAACGCTGCTTCTCGGGGGGGGGGGGGGGGCCGGGGCCGGTGCTCGGTGACCCGGGCACCTGCTGCCGGGGCCGGTGCCGAGGGCCGGGAACGGGGCTGGGGTGAAGGCCGGGGAAGGTGCGGAGTGGCGGGTGCACGGAGAGGGTTAATATTGTAACTAGGGAACAGCCGGTTAAGCACAACATCTAGAGCTCTGTAGTGAAAGTCCATCAGAAAGAGTGTAATCAATCAAAACTAACCAGGACATCCCTTCATTTTATTCTCCGAGGAGGCTGGGGCTGGGGGATTACAGACCCGATCTCACTCGGTTTCTCTCTCCTGACAGCCCCGCTTGTCTCTCCGCGTTCCCCGAACCCCGTCTAATTGAGAGGTGCGGGCTAATGATCTGAAACTCTTTTATAGCGTTTGGGTCAGTGTGATAAATAATGTGATAAATAATGTAGGATTAAATTACTAGGCCAGATACCGCTCCTGAAAACTTTACTGAGGCTTAAATATCCCATTACGTGACTTTCATTTATTTTAATTTTGCAGTGGTATTTGCATACATTTTTTTTTTTTCCCACCCCCCCCCCCCCCCCCCTTCCCCCGTTGCTGCTCTTTTGGATACACAATGCCTGGTGATCATTGTAATTTCCTAGAATTAGTTACTTCTTTGGAAACGGTCGATAGTCAAATCAATAAAATGGCTTGTAAAACTAGGGAGGTATAGGTTTCAACTGGGGGGGTGGGGGGGTGGGGGAGAAGAATCGCTCATTTTCCACTTCTTGTTGACGTGCCCAGCGTCTCTTTTGACTGGGGTTAACTCTGTGTGCTCCATCGGAACAGATGCCGTATAGAGCTGCTCCCTCAAGATCATTTGTTTCCTTGATGGGGGAACATTTCTGAGCAGAACATATTGGTTGCCATAGAGAAAGAAATAAAAGGAAGAACACTAGTCACATTAAGCTATATGTTTGTGCACTGGGCTTTAGATAAAAGGACCTCGGTTCAAGCCAAGGGAGAACGGGGCCAAAGCACAGCTCCTTAGCTTCACTAAAACTAGCTTTATTTTGGTTTGGACTTTTACGGTTGAAACATGTAAGCTAATTT